CCCACACACTTCTTTTTTTTTTTTTTTATAAAAATTTTTTTTTTCAATGTTTATTTATTTTTGGGACAGAGAGAGACAGAGCATGAATGGGGGAGGGGCAGAGAGAGAGGGAGACACAGAATCGGAAACAGGCTCCAGGCTCTGAGCCATCAGCCCAGAGCCCGACGCGGGGCTCGAACTCACGGACCGCGAGATCGTGACCTGGCTGAAGTCGGACGCTTAACCGACTGCGCCACCCAGGCGCCCCAACTTCTTTTTAATCTTTTAAGTTGATTTATTTATTTTGAGAGAGAGCTGAGGGACAGAGAGAGAGAAGAGAGAGAATCTCAGAAAGAATCCCGATGTGGGGCTTGAACTCATGAACTGGGAGATTATGACTTGAGCCCAGACCAAGAGCTGGACGCTTAACCCACTGAGCCACCCAGGTGCCCCGAGCCCACACACTTTTAATCATCTTCAATTCTGTCCCTTGTTCTTCACAATATTACCACGGCGTTGCTGGGTTCTTGCTAGACCAATGAAACGCTGTCGGCTCCCTTCGCCTTGATTCTTCACGCTTCCTGCACCATTGCTTACGTGCAATGCTGTTGTCACGCAAACTTTTTAAATACCACTCCTGCACCAGCATGATGAAGATGCAAAACAATGAGAGACGCAGCCTTCTTGTCTATAAAATGGGAGAATAATACTTGCCTTGGTTAAAATGAGGTTACATTTTTTTAATGCTTATTTATTTTTGAGACAGAGAGACAGTATGTCAGTGGGGGAGGGGCAGAGACAGAGGGAGACACAGAATCGGAAGCAGGCTCCAGGCTCTGAGCTGTCAGCCCAGAGCGGGGCTGGAACTCAGGAACCGAGAGATCATGACCTGAGCCGAGGTTGGCTTAACTGACTGAGCCATCCCGATGCCCCTAAATGAGATTATAAACAGGACATAGTAGGGATAAATCTTAACCACATCCTCTCTGTCGGTGATGTCCTTCCCTTCTATTGTTTCGGCTTAGTGAAGTCCCTTCGAGGCCACGCTGGAATGTCACATGCTCCATAAAGCGCTCCCTGATCAATTTAACCAGGAGCTCTTCCTTATTTGTACTAATGCTCTTGGTTACACATATCCCCTTATCAGTGGACACCTGAAACCACAGAGTAGTACTGACCTCTATTTACGATGTTTTTTTTCCAATACATTCATGCCTGTGAAAAAGTGTAACTTATCAATGAGGCACATTAGAAGATCAACAGGAACTAATGATAAAATAGAACCATTGTAGTATACCAAAATGGAGATCAGGTGCGTGGTCGCTTTCTCTCAAAAGATCTTCCTGTACCATACGCACCACCTTGGGATGATGAGAGGGGATGGAGGGAGGTGAAAGACACAGGCACCACTACTGACCTGCTGGGGATGGGCCAGAGGGAGACCACCTGCTTCTGGGCCGAGGTAGGCTGCGGTAACCGAACCCGTGAACCCGCGGAAGGTGAAGCTCCTTCGCCTCTCGAGATCCTCTGCGCCTTGTGCTTGTTCTACTAGGACGTAAGCTCCTACAGAATAGATGCTATTTAGTTTGCGTTTAATTCCGATCTCCAAAGTGCCCTCTACATTCTCGGTGCTAAATATTTGTGGAAAGCCCGAGCGAAGCCTCTTTTCCACTTAGGTTGGTTCCCAGACACAATTTTATTTATTTTAAAGTTTATTTATTTTGAGAGAGAGAGAGAGAGAGAGTGCAGGAGAGTGAGCAGGCAGCGGGAGAGAGAGAATCCCAAGCAGGCTCCGAGCTGTCAGCAGACCAGGCACGATCTTAACTCACAGAGTCATCTCAGCTATTTTTATTGTACTGCGTAGCATTATCTCTAGAGCCCCAAATCCCATCCCTTCTTCAAAATACAGCAGTCCCTAACATAGACAAATCGCTAATTACTGCATATAAAAACTTTCTTAACTCTCAAAATGTTTACAGTCTGTGGTTTCTAAGATACGTGTGGTCTGGTATCATTCTCTAGTTTATATGGCCTAAGTCTTAAGCAAGCATGCTCCTTTGGGGTAGAAAGCGTGCTTTCTAATTTCTTTTGTATCTTGCATAGTATTGGAGTTTGTTGGTACTTACTACAAGTGCTGGGTTTTGGATGCCTAAATCTGCTTCGGACCCGAGCCTGGTTCAGAGGAGAGGGAACACCAAGGAGTGGGTTATATCTCTGCTTTAACTCTTATGTCTACAGTGCCTGCACACTGTATGTATTCAAGGTTCTGGATGAACCCAATATACGTAAAAGCCTCGTGACTTTCAGATTACATAATTTGTAGAAAAAAAATGTTTTACCAGTTTTGCTTTAAATTTCTTTTTGTAATGACGGCAGAGAGTCAGGGTCATTAAAAGATAAATATATAAATAATAACCTTCATTGACGGTTAAAGAGATAACTCCAAGTCATGGGAAATCAGTTCGGCAGAAGATTCTTGTCTTAGATTTAATATCCCGTGTTTAGAATGGATAGGTAGTTTTGAGACAAAACTACTTTAATAAAAGTCACCTTTTGGTGTGGCTGAAACTTGATCTCAAAGTGTAAGCTTAAAAACAGAAAAGTAAAGAAGCTCATTGATGTTATATTTTGACCTGAGCACACATCAAGAAATATCAACAGTCTTCCAACAAAAATAATGAACATCTCCATAATCCTTGTTAAGCCCTATCATTTAAAATTCAGATTAGAGATTAAGAGTATTATTTATACTGTTTCTGTGAAGTGAAATGAAAGTCACAGCTGTATTATTTAAAAAAATGAGAAATAAAACCTCTACATGAAATATTATCAGTTAATTATCATTCTGAAAACATTAAGTATCATTATAGCCTAAAGTTGAGGGAATGAAAACAAGTTACTTGAATGTCACTGACGTCCATTAACTCAACATTTTCATAAAATGGATCTAGCAACTTTTGAAAACTAGAAAGATGAACTTTTTTTTTTAGAAGTTTTATTAGGTGAGATTTATTTATTTTCTTTAATCTCTACCCCCACCATGGGGTTCGAACTCACGACCCTGAGATCAGGAGTCACATGCCGTACCAACTGAGCCAGCCAGGCACCCCAGACCTTTGGCTCTTTAGCTACAACACTTCTGAGAGTGACATTGCTGTGGGTTTATAAAAGAAGATACTGAAATTGACTCACATTATGCTTTTCATAAACGCACAACTGTTTTGCTAATAACATCATCGGGATTCGCTATGGTCATTGTGCTCTCAGTCTCTAGTGACCTGTCTCTTTCATGACAGTACAAGAGAATAAAAGTCACGTGTAGTCTCACTAGCTGTCTGGATTGCATCATTTGAAAGTCACGCATGTTTAAGAATAACAATGCTCCTTAGGAAAAGATGACTTTGCAGAAAGTGTTCAACATTATTTCCTTGTATTTTGTTTACATAACTATTTCAAAATATAATGGCTCACACTTAGGTTATAATGGCTCAGACTTAGGTAATGTTTCTTACTTAGCTGTATATTTCAAATGCCAGCAAAATATTTGCAAGCCACATTAAGAGTACTAAAGTCACTAATATTAAAGATATGTGTATAATGTAATGAATCTTAAAAAGTCAAGCCTGCAAAAGAAGCTTAAGATACATGGCAGCATTAGATAAAATTCTCAAGGGGGCATCCAATTATATCACAACATTTGGTATTTGGTTAAATGTAGGAAAATTAAGAAAATTCTCCCTCTACAAACTAAAAAGAAAAACCCAATCCTGAAATTCTGAGCATTACTTTTGAATTTAGAGAAGTTATACATACCTAAAATGTGATTACACAATAAAAATGTTACACTGCTTTAAAATCTTTGGCCAAGTACAACAACAGGTGTAATAGAAAGCATGACATGAAGTTAAGACAGTAATTTTGAGGTATTTGATGGATAATGGACTTCATTTTCAACAACCGTATTGATAGATGGATATAATAGAAGTTTCTAGGATTCTTTTCAAATCTATCTTGAAATATAAAGTTTGTTTTTTTATATTTTTGAGAGAATTTTGGTACTTAATCTGTCGGTAAGAGTAAATAAAAATTTAAGCATGCGTCCAAAGCATCACAGACCCATCAGAGCCTGCTGCGGCCAGACTGCCTTCTAGAGATAATTTAGGTTTAGGGCATGCAGACCGAGATGGCAGGTGCCTTTCCCAAAGTCACAGGAAGCGGGGCTCACCAACAGCAGGTCTCCAAACTCCTTAGAATACTTCCCCCAAGGAGTCTGTGGTCTCAATGGCTTCAGAGCCCTGGTATCCCCACAAAGGAAGCCGCCTTTAAAAAATGTGAATGCATTGCCTTCACGATGTGCGACATACTCAATTCCAACGTTAAAACACGTTCTCACAGATCTAGCATCTGTAACGCCTAGGTCATAATGCCAATCGCTGCCAAGGTAACTGAATTTTTTTCTGAATGAGTAAGGGCAGTTAAGCCTCCCAGGACAGGAAAGCATCATTTCTAAAGAGAATCACGTAAATAATTCAAAGTCTGAATTTGGTTCTTCTGTAAATCTTGGGCCCTCTGTGGTTCGGTACTGGTCAGAGAGCTCTCGGAGCGTAAAAAAGCAGGACTTATTATGAGGGAAAGAAAGAGTCTGCGACTACTGGACAGACCTGGGGGTGGAACACGGGCCTCAGCCAAGTTCTCAGGACAACTGTTTTTGTAACTTATTTTCTGCTTACCAGAAATGGTCCCACCTGCACTGAGGAAGTTTGCCCATTCCAGGCTCTGTGCCACATGCATTTACAAAAAGAGTTCTAAGTAGCGAACCTTCTAGGAGTTCATGGCTATGAAGTTACTCCTCACAGTTGGGTGGGTTTCACGGAGTTTCACACGGCAGTAACACCAGTAAAGCCCCCGTTTCTCAAAACTAAGGGTGAGGCTGAGCGTAGACAGAACGTGACCTATGGCTATTTTCGGAACACAGATTACTGATCGCCAAATACATAAAGAAGGCACAAGTGAAGCAAAGGTAAAGTCAGTAAACAATATTTTACTGAAACATTTCATGACACAGAAAATCTGTCTGAAGTGTAAAGTTACTGTCTTACACAGGAAGGACAGACCCATTTTCAAAGACTAATATGAATACAATAAATATGGAGTTTACATACTAATTTATACACAGAAACTCTGCCCCACAGCCATAAAAATTTAATTTAACAGTGCAACATATAATTTAATTATTTGATTTGACAGGTTTTTTTTTTTTTCTTTCTAAACACAAATAACTACCTGGTTTTCATATACATATATAATATATATTTTATGTATATAGATATTCAACAATCTGTACAGCTTCTAAACATAAACTCCTAAAAGGCACAAGTGTCTATACAACATGTACAAAAATGGCTGGAGCGGACACAAAACAACAATTATTGGTCAAAAGTTCATGATTGCACAAAGATTAGTCATGAGTTTATGTCAGAAAAATGTGCTTTAAGGAAAGGAGGGTTTTCAAAGAAACCTTTAAGTGTTATATAAAAAACAAACAAACAAACAAAAAAAAAACCACAAAAAACCCCAAAACCAACCCCACCAAAAGCCCAGACCAAACCAACCCCCCCCCCAAGTCGAGGCCCACTAGGTGGCGATCACGAGCCTGTCCTCGTCGTCGTCACTACTCACGTCGCTGAACTGCGCGGTGGCCTGCCTTCGGGGCGGCGCTTTGGGCCCGGGCACCTGCCCCTCGGGGGAGCGAGTCCGCAGGCCGCAAGGCTCCAGGGAAGCTTCGGGACGCACCTGCAGCAGAGGCTCGGCCGAGGCGGCTGGTTTGCCCTGCAGGGGGGCGGGCTCCTGCGTGGGCTTCACATGATTCACAGCGGCGGCCTTGCCCGCGTCGGCTTTCCTTGAGCCGTCGGGCCGGCCGGGGTCTCTCGCGGGGGCAGACGCATCTAGAACGTGTGTTGCATTTTCCCGCCGGACTTGGGGGGACCCCTGAGGAGACGAGGCCCCGCCGCCCTGATCTGCGCCGGCTCCCGAAGTCGGCCTGGGGGGCGCCTCCCGCGCCCTGGGTTGGGAAGGGGGCATCTCGGGAACCCCCGGCGGGTCGGCGGGCACTTGACCCACAGAGGAGATTAAAGTGGGCAAGGCAATGTTCAGGATCTGGAGGCCTGGAATGTGCGCCTGAGGGGTGGGGCTGCTCTGCGGGGAGGGGTTTGCGGTGAGAACCTGCAGGCCCACGGCACTGAGCGCCAGCCCCGGCGGGTGCACCTGCGGGGCCACGTTGGTGTTGGCCAGGCCCAGGATGTTGACGGTCTCCACGCCCAGCGACGGCAGCGGCTGCAAGGCCTGCGTGCTGAGGTTCTGAAGGCCCGGCATGCGGATTTGGCCAATGGGTATACACGGCACCACGCCGCTCAATTCGGCCACTCCCGCGGGGCTGGGAGCGCCGGAAACTTCTGCGACCGAATCCCCGGGCGGGCCCACAGTTCTGTGAATCACATTGACGGCGGGGATCGTGAGCTGCATTGGCCCCGCCTGGATGGGCACGAAGGTGGAGTACGTGAGGCCGGCGGGGACCACGTGGATTCCCCCGACTGGAACCATGTTGTAAGGTGTCCTGGACTGCTGTTGAGAATGCAGAGGGAGGTGGCTGAACAGATGAGTCTGGGGAGAGGGCAGGCCCGGAGGCGGCTGGAGGGTCACTTGCTGCTTCTGCTCTTGGGCGTCAGGCTGAGGCGAGGCCCCTGAGGGAGCCCCCACTGCTGTGTGCGGGCCGCGCTCAGCCGCAGGAGGGGGTCGGCGCACGCAAGCGGTGCCCTGAAAGACAACAGACAAAACCCCTTTCCAGCGAAACTGCCAGCGTAAAATCTCCTCTTCCTAACGAGGAGAAAGCATGTATATTCACATAAAAATGACAGGCCTGCTAAAAAATGATGTCTTCATTATAAAAAAGAAATTCCCAACTAAAAAATCTATTATGTCTTTAATCTCTAGGGCAAGGAACAGCAACGCATTTCATGGAATACTTTGCAGTTTTGCAAATTTCCTCCTTCCCTTTCCCTTTCCCTTCCCTTCCCTTCCTCCCCTCCCCTCTTTTCCTACCTTCACCTCTTCCCTCTCTCCCTCCCTTGCTTCCTATGTTTGTGAAAGGTCTACTGAAGATCAGATTTCCAGGCACTGGCAGGTATGTAAGTGATCTGGGATAGAGAAGCTGAGAACACAGGTGACCAGTCTGGAAGTAATTTAATTTAAATATCAAGTATAATTTAAATATTAATGCAATTATGTTAAATTATATTAATTTAGAATAGCCTATAGAAATCTGAGCTTTCACAGACTTTTTCGTTTTCTCCAGTGTTACCTAGCAAACCAAGATCTGCCACATTTAGAAATAAACCCTATGGCCATCATCAATACATACAAGACATAAGAGAAGGTAAGAGACGTTAAGAGGTCAGTGGGATGAATATATTCGGCATAGAATTAAACACTCCTCATGAGCCACCAGGGGTAAAAAGCACCCGGAGGGTGGCTTTCTGCAGGCCCGTGTCTGGCCCTGAGCTGGTTCTCCAGCAGGAAGCTTTCCCAAGCTGGTCACAGCAATTTCATCATTCAAGCAAAGTGAACTTCTTGATACATTTTTGGGGGCCACATTACCTTTGCCACAGACACTGGTCGCTGTCGTGTCGACAGGGGCAAAGTGCAAAATGTTTGGATAATTTAGCACAGATCCGTCACATCAATCGATGCCACTGGAAAAACAATTCAGGGCAAGCGAGGGGGATAAGTAGGTCCCAAAAGTCAGGTTCCCAATTGGAACATACATATTTTTAAAAAGGAGTGTAGTTTTAGAGAACCATTTGGTTCTTTCACAGATTTATGTGAAGTCACATGTGACCTCTGATTAAAATACCTAGCAAGAATCCAGGGGGCATAAATAAAGTCCTTTGCCTTTAAATACAACCAAAACTTGCTCTTGAACCCACTGACTTAGCCATAAATTAAAAAAAAAAAACAACAACTTAAGTACATTATTTTCTTGAGCCATGAGGATCCCCCTGTGGGGAAACCCTACAACAAGACATTTACCTGGGTTAAAGTAGTGTTCTTTCCGGCCACAGAACTTCCCAGAATTTCTTCTGATTCAGGGTAGTCTACAGACATCTGGTGACACGGGGACCTGGGCGCAGCCTCAGGTGACCTAGAAGAGTCGACGGGAGTAGCCGTTTCTTCTCCGTCTTTTGCGGCGTGTGGCCCGGTCTTCACCGGAGACTCCATCTTCCGGCTGTGGTCTGACTGCACCGTGCTAAGTACGGTCATCTTGGTGGGCAAGGCTCTGGGTAGAACGTCCATCGGGTCCGTGTGCGCCCCAGAAAAGCAGTCGGCGATCCTGACGTCCTCCTCTGCGCTCCCAGGATCCTGGAGGCCACCTCTAGATGGAAGATGCTGCGGGCTGGCCGTAACGGAGGGAGCCGCTGACAAGACAGATTCAGCCTGACTGTCTTCATCGTCATCTTCATTTTCATTATCGTCCTCATCCGGGCCATCCGACTCTTCAAGGTCATACCCAGACCGCTCGAAACCGAATCTTTGCTTCTCATCTAATAAAAACAACCGAGGGGCGATGTTATAGCATGTTTCGCATGTGGACAGGTGCAGCCTTTTATTTTCTTTTAGTTTTTGTAAGCTTGGCAATGCTGTGAGGATCATAACAGAGAAGGGCCCTACTCACAGAAAGTCTCCAGTTTAGCCGAGGAGGGGTGGCAGGGGGAAGAATAAGTCAGTTGGGCCAGGAATCGGACAAGCGGGGCGCTGACAGAGAGTGGCATGGCCAGTACACTTGTCAGGGACGCAGAATGTGAAATGGGCCTCGGGAGGTTAGGCAGGTGAGGATAATATACCAAGAAAATCAGAAATAAAGGCCTCAACTATTTTTTTTTTTAAATTTTTTAACGTTTATTTATTTTTTGAGTGACAGAGAGAGACAGAGCGCGAGCAGGGAAGGTGCAGAGAGAGAGACACACACACAATCGGAAGCAGGCTCCAGGCTCTGAGCTGTCAGCACAGAGCCCGTAAAGGACTCAACTGTTAAAGAAGACGGGAAGATATAAAAAATTTGACAGAGTTCAACACAACTCTTCCTGAGCTCTATCTACTTCTCTGCCTCTCTTTTGAACAAACTGAAACAAAAAGCAAAACAAACTGATGGCATTTGGATTTGTGAGCCCAATAATTTTATTTGATAATTCTATGAAATATGTGAACTGATATTTGGATAGTATTTTAGAGAGGTTTCCATTGTGCTCTGGGTAGTAATACTCTCTAGGACTTAAGACTTCTACCTTTTTCTTTTCTTTTCGCTAAGAGAGGTGCTAAATTTTCCTGTCATTTTTTCCCTATGGTAATCCAACTCGCTCCTCACAGGAAGAGGAACCATAACTAATAAGAGTCATTAGTATCAGCCTCATAACGTCACACGGGACCGTGTTTATTTTATTTATTTATTTATAAAAAAAATTTTTTTTTAACATTTATTTATTTCTGGGACAGAGAGAGACAGAGCATGAACGGGCGAGGGGCAGAGAGAGAGGGAGACACAGAATCGGAAGCAGGCTCCAGGCTCTGAGCCATCAGCCCAGAGCCCGACGCGGGGCTCGAACTCACGGACCGTGAGATCGTGACCTGGCTGAAGTCGGACGCTTAACCGACTGCGCCACCCAGGCGCCCCAAGGGACCGTATTTAACAAAGAAGATTCAGGAAGGTCCAGGGAATAGTTTCTTAATTCTCGTAAGATCATGTGGAAACTGGATTTAAATTTTTATCTGTTCAGAATCCCACAAATTAGAGGTTCTTTCCCTTAGAAAGCTAATAAACTTTTAAAAAGTTAAATGGTGGATGAATGAAACACCTCTACCCCAAATCTCTGGCGCTGAGCTATAATAAAGAAGGTATCAGAATGTATTCAGCTTAGCTGCGAACCGTTCTGTCATTTACGCATACTTTTAACATTCTGCACTTATGTATACTTTCTGAGCAGGAAAAATAATAGGGAAATAAGCAACACGTTTGCTTCCTGCATATCCCAAATGGTCTGCGTATTAATTGATTTTACTATTCCTTCTATATTACCAAGTTCTTAGAGAAAAGTCTCAAAGGATCGACACCAAACCATTGGAGGCTGATTATTTCAAGAGGATGGAATGGACTAGAACTTTTCTGCTGTTGATCTCAAGCACGTTACTTTTACAATTAAAACATTCAAGAACAAAACACATTCATTTAGGTTACCTTAACACGTGATTTCATATGCTTTTTGCTTTGAGGGTTCTGCTGGTTTTGCTATGAAATAATGCTAATATCCTGAATCCCACCAGGCGCCCGTGCTACAGATGGAATGGGTGATTTCTGGGTAAATGGCCTGCCCCTTGCCTCACAGGTAGCTCTCCTGACCCCTATCAGATGGTTGAAATTCTAAAATTGGAGTCACTCCCAATTTGTTTTGAATTTGCTCCAACAGTGCCGAGTCAGACATATTTTAAGAGACTGAGGGGAAAATGGGCAAGAAAATCCAAAGACATGAGATGACCAAGGAACAGGTTACCAGACAGGGGGGCTGACTTCACCAGAGGCGAGCCCGGCTCCAAAGTCCAACTAGGGTGAGATGTGCTTTCACTTAAAAATTATTACTCTATCTTAAACAAACAAACAAACACACAAACAGGCCTATCTTCATATTGATGACTTTTTCAATATTCCCTATAAAGCTGAGGTCCCCGCCAATCAAACACTCCAAACTGTAAACAGAGACGGTGTCTGTGGGAAGAGAGCAGACATAAGCCAGCATCATCTGGGGTGTGTGCGATGGGACACTGGCCGGGAGGTTGCTGTTCAACAGATGACAGGGTGGTCAGAGCCAAGTATGGACTGCCCGCGTTGTGTGAATCCTCTGAAGCTACTCTTTCCTGCAGGCTCTATGCCAGGAACCCCATTCAAGTCCTCACAGGAAAGAGTGTGAAGTATCCCCTGTTGTCCAGATCTGGGGGACAGGCGCCGTAGCCAGAGAGAAGGAACAAGACATTCCACCTGGATCCACTTCCTCTCGCTCCTTTAGGGAAAAACACTGTGGAGGGAAGGGCACAAGCACTGCTGCTCTTAGGAACCTGGTGAAAACTTACTGCAGTGGGGAGAGGGGGTGAACAGGAGAAAAAACACAGCTCTACTCCTTGAGGAAGGACAAGATTACCAGCTGAGTCCCCCACAACAGCTGAGGGAGTGGTGGGAGAACACAAGCGCCATGGCCCAGAAACCTAAAAGCATGGCGCATGTGGGAGTCTGAGGCTGAATCGGAACCCGAGGGCATCCTGTCCTCCTCCCCACCCCTAAATGCCAAGCTAAGACCTTTACGTAATGGGTAACAGCCGAAAACTTTTGGGAGAGGGATAGGAGATGAACGGGAATGTGTAGACTGACACTCACTGAGACACCTAAAACTGTGGACTGAAATGGGCATTGCCCTCCTCATCAACCCCTCCTCCCCCAAAGACAAGTTAAGTCTCTAGAGGAATCTGAAGCCTCTGATGCTGGAAGCCTGCCGTATATATAACGTATCACGCACCTGCAGCCCCACTTCTAACTCCAAAAACTCTTGATGCCCACACTAAAGGCCCGGCAGGAGAGGCACACCTGTCAAGAGGCAGGAAGCCTATTTACGTAGTCTCCACTGTCTTACACAAGATGTCTAGCTCTCGTAACAAAAATTACGAGACATATAAAAAGGCAGGAAAAGAAAACGTATGCAGAAGAGAAAAAGCAATCAGAACCAGTCGGATAGGACACAGATGTCAGAAGCATCAGAGAATTCAAAGTAATTGTGGGTTAAAGGCTTGTGGGCCACCCGCAGGGTCCAGTGGGAATTTCAGCTGAGGGCTGGACACAGGTGACGGAGAAGGCAGTGAGATGCTACAAACGAAAAACAAAGTAACAATGACAACAAGAGAATGGCCAAACCCAGAGTTCTATGCTCAACGGAAACAGTGTTCAAAGACGAAGGAGAAATGCAGACTTTCTTAGAAAAATACAAACGGAGGGGATTCACTGCCAGTAGGACTTACTTGACAGTAAATGTTCAAGGAAACTCTTTGGGCAGAGAGGATACGGGCTCAGAAGGGAATGTGGATCGACACAAAGAGCTGAAGAGTATCAGAAGCAGAATAAGGACTCTTTCTGTAAAGTTCTAATTGCTTGCTCTAAAAGACAACTGAACATCTGCGGCAGACATAATGGAGCAGGTGTTTACGGCACCGGTAAACGTAGACAGTATGAACACAACAGCACAAATAACGGAAAGGAGGTACTGTGAATACAGTTACAAAGTCTCTAAGCTGCATGTGAAGTAATGCAGCATTATGTGAAGGAAGACAACTAAATTTTCTAAAGAGGGGTGTAAATAAAGTCAAGGAGGAGATAAAACAGAGTCATAAAAAAATGCGCAATGAAGTCATAAAAAGAAAAAAAATTAAATAAAAAAACCACACCCAGGTGGCAAGGTGGTAGGTTTTATTCTACTACGTGAAAAATAACATTAAAAGGAATTCAAGTCTAACACCTTAATTAAAAGAGAGAAATTGCTAGACTGGATTAAGCAAGCAAGTGCCAAGTATATATACTATATACCAAAAAACCCATTTTAAACAGAAAGACATAAACAGATTGAAAATAAAGTTTGGAGAAAAGTATACCTTACAACATTGACGAAATCACAGCTGGAAAAACTGTATCAGTACCAGGCAAAGTAGATTTCAGAACAAAGAATACTATCAAGAATGAACAGGAACATTACATCATGATAAAAGACACATAATCCTAAACGTATATCAACTAATAAACCAGAGCCTCAAAATAAATGGGGCTAAAACTGAAAAAAGTAATAAACTGATCCATAATTAGAGTTGAAGATTTTAACATCCCACTCTTAGTAAGTGATGGAACAAGCGTACAGAAAATGAGTGACAACACAGAAGGAAGACCTGAAAAACACTACCAATTAACTAGTCCCAGCTGACAGTTATAGAACATTCCAAGCAATAACACACTCTGCTTTCCTTGTAAGTATACATGGAATGTTCACCAATCTCTGCCATATTCAGAGCTACGAAGCAAACCTCAACACATTTAAGTTAATAAAAGTCACAGAGTAAGTATTCAGATGAAAACAGAATCAAACTAGAAATCAATAATTGGAAGATACCTGAAAATCTTCCAATATTCCAGACTTACGAAACATATTCCTAAATAATCTGTGGGTCAAAGAGCAAGTCTCAAAGAAAGGTTAGAAATACTTTGAGGTAGATGAATTTATATTTTTAAAATGTTTATTTATTTTTGAGAGAGAGAGAGAAAGAGCATGGGGGAGGGGTAGAGAGCGAGGGAGACAGAGGATCTGAAGCGGGCTCTGTGCTGAGAGCAGAAAGATGGATGTGGGGCTTGAACTCATGAACTATGAGATCATGACCTAACTGACTGAACCATCCAGGTGCTCCTGAGCTAGATGAATATTAAAATATAACACTCAAATTGTGGCATGCAGCTAAAGAAGTGGTT